CATATTCTTGGTTCTCTCGGTAAAGTCACCAAGTAGAAGGGAAACAATAAAATAATAAAAATATAAAACGATACAAATTATTATTTTTAAATTATTTTATTGTTTCCCTTCTACGTGACTTTACCGAAAGAACCAAGAATATGCAACGTTGCATGTTGGTGGTGCTGCTGCTGCTGCTGCGTTGGCAGTGGTGCAAACAAGCAAACTCGACACGTCGCGTTAGTGACACTGCGTGACCTCACATGCAACGAATGTAGATACTAGGCGACGTTTAGGGCAATGTACCGTCATCGCGTGCTTTGGAGGGGGGGGGGGATAAGGGGAGGGGGGGGGGAAGGATGACAGCCTCCGAGTGGCTGTGGGACGCCTGTGAAAGCACCAGGATGGCCTGTAACTCCCGTCACACAGGTGGCCGGCGGGCTCGAGAACACAAGGAGCACTCCGACAGGGATACGAATCGAGAAGTGAGAGGATGGCGGGGCCGGATGCGTTTGCATCCCTTTTAGTTTACCGGCACCGCGGTTTACGACGGTCGGTCCTTGCGAAAGTGTCCGCTTGCAAATGGCCACGCAGCCAGGCAAATATCTGAAGGATGAAACGAGATCTGTGGGCTGACGTGGCGTCTACGGGGGGGAAATGACTCGCGTCACGGCCCTGTGCCCGTGGGTGCCCCTTGTGTGCTTTGTGTCGCCTCGGTCGGTCAACCCACGGCGCCTGGGTCTATGCCGTGACCTGCCACACGGCTTTCAAAGTGCACCTAGCATGGCACAAGCGCCGCGGTGACGTCAACGCCACTTAGTGGCGACGGCGGTTGTTGTTGTTGTGTCGTGGGGAGCGGTCGTGTTCATTGACCTTGCCTAGGTCGACTCAGCCTTAAATGAGTCCCTGGTACGTTGCGTCAACAACAGCTGGGCGTGGTGCTGGCCAGCCGCACCCTCGTGTGCCGCGTCGGCCTTAATAGGTGCTCGCTAACAGCACTCGCCCCAGCAGTCTGTTGAAGGCTGCCTGGGGGATCTTTTGTCTTGTGATTTGTTTCGGATGATGCTGCTGTTTGTCGATGTCTGCCGAGGCAAACTGTCAACGGAGCCATCCTGCTTCTCATGTTGCCATCCTGTGCAGATGCTGTTAGGCGTAGTAGGTTGAACCGCAGTGGCAGAAATATGTGAAATGATTTACGATATAAAAAAGAAATTGTGACGTTCCCTCAATAACTCCAATACGTCATAACGCAACGAAATTAATTCCTTAACGTTGCTTTTTTTTTGTAAGTTGATCTTATTTTATTTTTCCGTGACACCCCGACCAAATGAAGTACATTTGCCGTTTGCGCCGTTCGTAAAGCCGGTCGCGAAGGCGCTATGTGTGTGATTTGTAAGCTTGATTGGAATAATCTTGTAACATTGCATCTCCCTTGTGTTGAGAATCTATTCCTTCCTGATGAGCCGTTACTGGGGCAACTGGTCTCATTTGCTTGGTCATGATGAATGTGAAGTGCTTTCGAACTGTATACCATACCTTAGCATATACCGTGCGTCTCATTCATGTCAGTTATAATTAAGATGCTTACACTGTTGTTAACTGTTGAAGGTTTAATTTTTCTTCCAAGCATTGCAGGTTAGCGCGCGCTTCGTTACGAACCCGCTGACCCGAGTTCGATTCCCGCTCACGACCAATAACAGTGGTCCTGGCCCTCCCCTAGGTCAACCCAGCTTTAAATGAGGTGCAGTGTGTAAACATCAGCGCTGGGAAGACAAAGGTGGCTAGATGTGGGTTTCGCCACCCACCTAACGTGCCGTGCTGACCTTCATAGGTGCTCGCTAACCGCACTTGCCCCTTCAGTCTGTTAATCACCATGTAGGGTATCTTACTCTGTATCCGAGGTCTCCATTGAAGAAATAAGTAATATTGAAAAAAACTTTAAAAAAAACACACGCATTTATGAAATCTACGAGTAATGGATGAACTCCACGACTCCAGGAAGTGGCCCCGAAGCTTGGCCACAACGTAAGGGACTGTGGGCAATTACAGCCAACGTGAGTTGAGCGTGGACAATTAGACCCAAGCCGAAACATAACATATAAAAAATAATGTTTAAAAATATATATTTTTTATGATAGAATATAGTATTGACATCAGTATGACATAAGTATACCAAGTTTGCAGTCGATACCACATTGGGAAGTGGGTAAAAATTGAGTTACAAGATTTGAGGATACAATAACAACAACGACAACAATGACAACAACAACAGACAGAGTTAAATTAAAGCGTGTAAAATACTGCTAGAGGTAGCCAAGGAGGCTTAGAGGACAGAGCGTCGAGTTGATTATTTTAGCCCGGTCACCAATGATCACACGAAACAAATGTCAGTGTGCACCAGGTCAGTTGAAGGGGTCTCGGAGGTAGCTCTGTGATATCCACTTTCCGTGGGCTGTTCTCTATGACACACAAGGGCTTTTGCTCTGCTGTGTGAGAGATCTGAATGTCCCGTGGCACGGTAATTGACATCACAACGTGGATAAAATTGAGAACATTTATCACAGAAGAATCTATTCAAACAACATTCACATGCAATCTCTTTGAAGTTTTAGTTATCATCTCTTAATTTTTCAGTAAAAAAAAAACCCTTGCAGCGGAAAGTTGCGACGTACCCTTCAACTGTGCAAGCAATTTAAATCGCATCAATCCCAAATGAAGGCACCTGGTGCAAAATGCTCCACTCGTGTGAAATGCGTTGCAATCATCTCGATAGTCCACGCGATACAGTGACTTTAACATAATATTGTTGTGCTAGGCTGAAGTACACACTTGTGCTGTGAAAAGGCCTCGTTATGAGCGCGTCATACGCCTCCACCTGTGGAGTCCTTTTCTGGACAAAGGAGACGAAGACACGCCCCCACGCGCCCCCGCAACGATCCCCCGTATATCGCGGACAGACTGTTGGGTGCACGTGCTGTCAGTAGCGAGGAGCGCCTAGCGTTGGTGGCGCAGCGCACGAGGGGGATGGGTGGCCAGCGCCGCGCCCGGCCGCCTTTGTCTCCCCAGTGGCAATGTTTTTTTTTTTACACACATAGCGCCAGGTATTCATTTGAGGCTGAGTCGACCTAGGGTAGGCCCAGGGCAAATTCAGATAATCGTCACTGGTTGTTGGCCGTGAGTGGGAATCAAACTCGGGTGCCTGGGTGCATAGTGCAGCGCGCTAACCACTACGCTTTCCGCTGTCCAAAGTAAAAAGATCCCCCATATAGCCTTAACAGACTGTAGGGGCAAGTGCTGTTAGCGAGCACTAATGAAGGCCTGTACGGTACACCAGGGGGTGGGTGGCCAGCACCACACTCGACCACCTTTGTCTCCCCAGTGGCGATGTTTACACACCGCAACAGGTACTCAATTAAGGCTGAGTAGAATTAGGGGACGCCCAGGACCGGTTCAGATAATCGTAACTGGTGTTGGCCGTGAGCGTGAATCGAAACTGGGTCTCCGGGTTCGTAGCGCAGCGCGCTAACCACTACACAACCGCTCCCCACACACACCGCACACAATCATTAAGGAATTTGAAAACCAATCTGAAGCACTAGCAGGGAGTGCTGCACTGAGCCTTGCCATCCAGTGAGGTTTTTTTTCCTTTCCCCTGGATAAATAAACATCTGCCTTCGTTAATATTTAATGTGTATAAATAAACTGAGCCTGCCGATGACCTGTGCACCCAGGATGCCCTCAATCTCGTCAGATCACGGAAGCTAAGCAGATTTCAGCCTGGCCGGGGCTTGGAGCATGCACCACCTGCGGGGACACCACGTATCATAAACCGTGAGCCGCGAGGTGGCCAGAGGATGGTGGTTGAGGAATAGATTCTTGAATCCATCTGTCTGGAGCTTTGAGTATTATGCCTCTATGTGCGTGGGTTTTCTTCCAATACTCCCGTCCCCCACCGCCCTGCAAGCAATGCAAGATCCTCCTGGAATAAAAGTCAACGCTGGATATAAGCACACACCCCCTTGAGAGCAAGGCCCAGCCGTGCTGACATACAAACTATAGCGTGCTTCTATCAGAAGCTGCCCTTCGCCTTCCCCCCACCATTGTAATGCAATCACGTGTTGCTTATATGAGAACCGTGCTTACATAGGGTGTGCTTATTTTGAGCGGCTACTGTCAGGGACATTTTTATGACTGAGGCAACTTGCCGAGGTGGCGAACGTGGTTATCGAAGGCGTCGTGAAATATTTAATGTACGAAGCAATGTATGCCACCACAGAGACAGCTTACACTGGGGGCGGCCCCTCTTGGCTAGACCACGGCATGGTTGACATGAGATGTGATGTGAAGTTTCCTTTGATCGAAGCGCCCAAAAAACTTGATGAAAACATTTGATCCTCTGCGTCTCTGCGTCAGTCTTGTGGGTCTCTGTGCGAGTTTATGGGTCTCTGTGCGAGTCACTCTATAAACTATTAAACTATAAACTATTTTTTTTATTTTACGAGGAAATACCCACTGAGCTTACGTAGCTTTTTTTCAGAAGCGACCTGGCCACAAATGATAGCTCAACGATAGTGGCTTATTGCGTGGCAATTTATAGCAGCAAAATGCTGTAAACTCTGAGAGTCTATAGGTGTCCATGTAAATCTATACATCGCACAGGGAAGGCTGCCAATGGCAGGGAATCGGAATAGTTGAGATCTGGTGTGATGTAAGCTGTCTTGAGTTGCCTAAGCATTCTTAAGCCAGTGCACTGGACATTCGGTTGCCGAACGAATACGTTACAAGGTCGCACTCATCACACGCGAAGTGCTTGCCGCAAATGAACCACAATACCTTGCTGATCTCATCAAGTAGCAAAGACTGTCACGCGAACTCCGGTCGTCCTCGCAGCGGCTATTGGCTGGCACAATCGGGGAATTGTCACCTCGGCCCTGTCCACCTCCCCCCCCCCCCCCCGGGTGGGTTCGTGTGTGCGATCGTATACGGAGACCCCTCTCTCTCTCTCTCTCTCTCGTCGACAGAGGGCACGGATGGAGTGAGGGCGGCTGAGATGAGGGGCCACGGTCGAGGAGAAGCACGGAGGGAGGCGCGCTCACACTGGAGGTGAGTGACTCCGAGCCCTCCCGAGCCCCGCGCTCACCGGGTCAGGCCGCTGCTGATTGGCTGCCACTTTTTGTCTGGCTTTGACTGCGACACCAACGGGGGGGGGGGGGAGGGGGGGGGGGGCGCTGAAATTGGGCGGAGGATTTTTGGCGTTCGTGTTCGAGTGGCAGCAACTGATTTGTTCCAGTTCTGGTGGCATGCCGAAATTTATCCACGGTGTACCACCGCTCAGTTTTGCTAGACCTTTCACTGACCGAACAATATAGGGTGTTTCAAAAAGATGGACCCGATTTGAAATCGCTATATCTCTGCAACCACGAACCACTCATGAATGAAACTCTTACCACTTGGAAGGGTGGGGCATAGAGTTACAAATGATTACCGCTAGATGCCTCTCCCAGCGCACAAACAGCCCCTAGCCTCAGTCATTCTCAAGACAACACTGCCTCAACATTGGATAGGTCGCCCATACAGCAGGTGGAGGGCACATAGAGCATTTATAAAATGGTTAGTGAAACTTCATAACTCATTAAACCGTTTGTAACTTTTTGTGTAATTGTAACATGTTGCCATCGAGAAATATACTGCATTGAAATTGGGTCCGGTTGGCGGTCAAATCTGGTCTCCCACTTTTGCAACGGCATTGTTATTGCATTTGAATGAATGGATGTGTTTGACGTAATAATGATGATTTATAAATTGACTTGTATAAATATATATATTTCACGTGTCCTCTTGATTTTGCAAGCTGTGCTCAATTTTACAAAACTTGATCAAGCAAAATATATATGATTCAAAACGCGGCGACAGGCACAGAAAGGAAAGCCCTGGCTCTCTCCCTGTGTGCGCTTTTTCGTGCTCGAGAATGGCTCATCATTTCAAGCAGCCGATCAATCAATTCGGCTGTCAGTCCGACCGAGCGGTCGGAGCTTGTGACCGACAATCAGAAGACTCAACTCGGGGTTGCAGCTTGACCGCCGGTCTGGATCGATGCGGTTATCATTGCCCTTGTCAAAAAGTATCCCCCGTGGGTGTTGTCTGGGGACGCCCGTAACCTGCCAAGGAAACGTGGATGCTTCACCAAGGGCTGAGGGACCCCCCAATGGGGATTGAAGCCATCCCTGCCTGACACTCGTCAGGGATGGCGTTTCAGAATATGTATTTATACTGGAGTGAATCCGATGAGATAGGAAGGCCTTTTTCACAGATTTCCAGTCACCCAGGTATATTGCTCCCGTTTGCGTGAAACGCCAAATATTTGGCTTGATCATTAATGTGACCTCACACCCCCCCCCCCCCAAACTCAATCGTGAAAACACCACACACAGCTCGTCAATCGGTGGGTTTCCTATGGTGAGTTAAAGTGTGGGGTACTCCCACCTTTGCCAAGACAGTCTGGCTAGCCTTGAAGAGTGGGCCAGAATAATTGTGCCGTCTTACAAGAGGGCTCTCTAGAGCTCCCTCCAGCGGATGCCACTTCTGCCCGGCAGTGTCGCGAGCAAGCAATTGCAGGGCCCGCACCTTTACTTTAACAACAACAACAACAAATATATACATTTAATTCGCCGAAGACACGCAGGTGTAATTCATCTCGTAACGGGCGCAAAACAAATAAACGGAGTGTGTATTTCAAACCGGATTAATGGCGCGGGAAAAGGGCACTCGCTCGCTCGCGGGCACCGTAAGGGGGATGCGCTTGAGTGCACGCCGCCGTTCATTAGCGGCGGAGCCTGCAGCAGCACCTGCGGTGGTGCTCAACACCTGGCCACGTTCTGGGGGTCAAAGGGAAATGAAAGGAAATGGCATGGCTCGTTGAAAATGAGTAGGTTCACACCGACGGTCAGTGTTTTGTTGTTGTTGTTTTAACATTTTCTCAGGGGGGGGGGGAGGGGGGAAGCTCTTGGCTAGAACCGTTGCGTTGGTTTATTTGCATTGCGCGTGGCCAACCACCACCCCCCCCCCCCCTCGTGTGCCACTGTGCTGGCCGTCATCGGTGCTGCTCGCTAACCGCACTTGCCCCAACGGTCTGTTAAGGCTGCGCGGGGGAACTTCACCTTCATGGCGGCGCCACGGTTAGCGCACCGTTCAGCGTTCCCTGCGCTCCCCGTGGTCCCGAGTTCAATTCCCGCTCACGACCAACAATAGTGGTGACTATTTATACTCGTCCTGGGCCTCCCCTAGGTTGAATTTCTGGTGCGGTGCGTAAACATCGCCACAGGGGGAGACAAATTGTGGCCGGGCGTCATGTTTGGTGACACCACCCCACCGTTTGCCATGCCGGCCTTCAAAGGCACTCGCTAACCGCACCCGCCCCAGCAATCTGTTAAATACTACACGGTACATGGACTGTTGTGTGTGTGTGTGTGTCCGGGTAAGCGATTGTGCAGTGGGTTTGTGCACTGCACTACGATCACTGCCCCCTGACTTCGATTCCCATTCACCGAGAACATCAGGCTTCGGCTAAGAATGAAGACATTGTGAAGCGTGTGACACATTGGAAATATTTTGTCCCAAATACTCGGAATTCCCAACCCCGTGATTCAATCAACAGCGTGAACTCGGAGACTGACCGCTTTTCGCCATGCGCGTGATGCAGAAACGCACTCGGCATGTCTGAAATCGATCCCTTGCCACAGAAAAACTGAATCCAGACGTTAGCGATGTGTTGTGTTTTTTTTTCCTTTCTCCCCCATCCTCTCCCCACCTTTTCGGCCGCCGTGCGTTTGTTCTCGTTGCCGCTTGCAGATGGACAATAATACCGCATGCACCGGTCGCCGACGGCCGCCATAAAACGCGGCGGAATTGAACGCTTTTTCTGTCGCCATCGAGAAGCAAATTCGAGGGCTTTCGTCTCGCTCACAGCGGTGCTCTGGAGCGATTCGACGGGCCGAATGGAAATGTGCGCTAGGCGGCGTTAGAATCGCACGTTCGCAAAGAGAGGCTGCGTCTTCGGCGGCAAAACTTGAACTGGCGTCCCGGCGTGTCTGGATGCCATCAAGGCGCCGCACGAAACAGCGGGGTGTGTTGATCGTCTGGGCGAAATGGAGGTGTGGATCGGTGTATATTTTGAAGAGGCAGGAGTGCCTATAAAGACAAAGATCCCACGTGTGGCCTTTAACAAGCTCTTGGGGCAAGTGCTGTTTGCGAGCACCTGTGATGGCTGGGACAGCACACGAGGGGAGTCAGTTGGCCTACACCACGCCCGGCCACCTTTGTCTCCCCAGTGCAGATGTTTACACACTGCACCAAGTACTCATTTGAGGCTGAGTCGACCAAGGGAATGCCGAGACCCTGGTTCACATATTCGCCGCCGATATTGGCCGTGGGCAGGAATCGAACTCGGGTTACACACCGTTCCACGTACACCGCACCAAATGCGGGGGGTTCGCCAATCGAACCCGGTTCACACTGCGGGGTGAAAACTAAACAAAAGCCAAAGGGGGAGCGAATGGGCGGAGGATAGGGAGACGATTTTGACCTTGGACTTGGCAAGGGACAAGGAGTTGACGGAGCAGATGGCCTAGTGGGAGGGTCATTCTACCTGGGGTAGTCGGAGGGATGGAGTGGACTCCCACCGAGAGGTTGAGTGGAGTCTTAGACAGGACGCCTTGGTTGATGGAGTGTCAAAGGCAGAGGTGGAGGGGGGCGGTGGAGGGGGGCGGTGGAGGGAGATGAGAGGGATTTAGGTAGGCAGAGGTCGAGCCTACGAAGGAATCTTGAAGAGAATGAGGGTTGAAGGCGAAGTTTAAATCACGTATCATTTTTGTTCTGCGTCGGAGTGGGTTTTGGGCAAGGAAAAAACCCCAAAAAGAACGAAATTTTGATAAACAGCTTACATGGTGCTCGGCGGGTCACGCGTGCAAAAATACGAAAAGGAAAACGGCGTGGGGGTGTTAAATAATGGATAGTTTAACTGGAAGCTCCCGGAGAATGCTCGCGCAAGGGCACGTCAAAACAGACAGCCGCCGACTGTTAATATTTTATGGCTCCTTGCGGCGACGGAGCAGCCTTTTTTTCCCTTCTTTCTCCTGCGCGCGTTCGTGTCCTCGCGTACACTTGGCGCAAACTGGAGCCACCATCCTCCGCCACGCGGCACGCGGAGACGCGCTGCTCGCCGCTGCCTTTGGGACGTTGTCGGGACTGAGGCGCGGCGAGTCACCGCCGGCGCGGCGAGTCACCGCCGGCGCGGCGAGTCACCGCCGGCGCGGCGAGTCACCGCCGGCGCGGCGAGTCACCGCCGGCGCGGCGAGTCACCGCCGGCGCGGCGAGTCACCGCCGGCGCGGCGAGTCACCGCCGGCGTGGCGAGTCACCGCCGGCGCGGCGAGTCACCGCCGGCGCGGCGAGTCACCGCCGGCGCGGCGAGTCACCGCCGTGCCAGCGAGTCCCTTCTGGTGCGGGAAGGCAGCATTTCAACGTCTCGTACATTAAAAAATTAGATTGTGAATGCTTCGCTACCCCCTTGTTGAGATTCGACAAATTGTCACGATCCACTATCACGATTTGTTTAAAATATTAACAAAAATCTAATCTATTTCCATGTTTGCCTTTGTGGTGCATTTTGAGCCTCTAGTTTCTGCGCAATTTACACGCATAGATGACATGCTACGTATATGACGGGACACCCCGCCTGTGATTGGTCCCTGGTGGTTTTTGTTGAGGATACAGATCCTCAGTGACCCGGTATTGCTAATGCTATCTCACTGTGAATGTGTGTTCATTGCAGCTGTCTGAATGTGTTTTTTTGTGTTTAAATGTGTGATGCATCTGCCAGTCCTCTTAGTCAGTCAACCCATGGCATATGGGTCTGTCCCATGACCTCCTGCCATTGAGCCTTCAACACTTCACGCGGCTTCAACGTGCACACAGCCTGGCACATGATCTGTGGTAATGTCACTGCCACTTAGTGGTGAATGGCGGATGTTGTTGTTGTGTGCGCGCTGACTTTGTTAGTGTGGATGTTGACCCTGTGTGTGTGTGTGCACGCTGACCACGCTTTGCA